CCACTAAATAGAACATAAAAGAGGAAATTTAATCCACCCTATTTGCCACTGTGCGTCATAAGCTTCTGTTTGATGATAGTAGTCTTATCTATCTCTTAATTCAATATATATAGTGAATATTGACTTGACAACACAGGAGTTTAGTTCAAATACGTGTCAATATAGAATTGTTCCTAATTTCTTGAGCACTGAGTGCACTAAACATGACTGTCTAGCGCCATGGCAAAAAGCATATACTAGCATATATCTAGTGTTTTTATTTTTGGTTCAGAATATGAAAATTTGATTAAATAAGATAAGCTCACTGGGAAAGTTGTAGATTACATGGCATGACTTTCAATTAAGCTCAGTTTAATTTGTTTTAAGCACCCCAACAAAATGGTGTGTTATGATTCTTTTGTACCAAACAACCTGTTATCAGCATTGCAGTTTTTCTGTACAGAGTAGCATTTCTTTTTGTTCACAACTTCTGATTAATTTGTCTTGAATGTAGGTTCCTAGACCCCATTCCCAGAGATTAGATCGATCCAACTAGATCGTCCTAACTCTCTGGGAGTTCACGCTAAATAGCTGTCAGCCGAGCGGGCACGAAAGTTATTTACCCTCTTACAGCTTGTGGTAGGTGGGACGGACATTTAAGCCGAATTAACTGACAGTAATCTAGTGAGACTCCCCACGGGGATAGATTGATCTAAAATCTATGGGAATGCGCCCCTAGGCATGGTACCTGCTGCACATTTTCACCTGTTTAAAGCTCTGTGCTCTCTTTCACTCCCCCCCCCTTCCTCCCGGCCCCTCCGCTCTTGGCCCCCTTCCTCTCCCATCCTCCAATGTGCACATTTGCCTTGGCATGAACATGCCCATTTTCTCATCAACTTCAAGACCAATGAAGGCTGTTGAAATTTATTTTATTTAACTTTGAGGTGACATTTAGTGCCCTATACTTGAGGAATGACATTAGCTACCACATGAACTGAATGTCACAGAGCAGGATTGATTGCAGCAGTCATGGTAGAGGCCTGGGGTTGTACTCCCATAGTTATTCCACTAATAGGGAACAGTAGGATTGGAAATTTATTTAAATTTGGGAATAGATTTAGTTATGGTTCAGTGACACTTCATTGATTTTCCCCATCCGTAAAAAAGGCTAAGGAAATGGTTAAAAGATTTAAAATTATTACTTTTAACTTAATATTTCAGTGGAATGCTCCTTTTACATAAGATTTACAGTATGGAAATTCAATTAGGTTTAAAAGTCTAATTTTCTGTTAATTGATACATTGAGCTGTTATGACAAAAATGCCTTGTGTGGCACTGAGGTATATTTTTTATGATTGTTTGGTTTCCCATTCTGTAATTGTTGGTTTGCAAACTGCTGGCCAGGTGGTTCATCTCCAGGCATATTGATTGTGATAAGTAATGGCAGGGTAGTAATGTTAATCCCCTTTGACCCTTACAATCTTGGGTGAAGGCAGGAACTAAGGGTTGTAAATACTTATCAACAAATGTCAGGGGATCTGTTCACTGTATCATAAAATATGTTGCTCTCCACACCTATACAAGCACCTGCCTCCCAATAACATTTTGCTGCATGCTCTCTCTCTCATTCTGTTCAATGTGCAATGCTACTGGTAGACTAAGAAAATTATCATCTTCAGTCTGACTCATTTTTTGAAAATTGTCAATTTATCACTTGAATACTGTGTTGCATTTTACTGTCAGGGAATCCGGCTAAAGAAGGAGTGGCAAAGATCAGCAACATGCGAGATAAAGTTTTGAAACTTGAATTTTTATATTAACATGTTTTTCATGCAAGTTTTCTGTACACTTTCTTTGAAGCATTGTTGTTTTATATTCAAAACTGGGTTTTCAGAGGAAGTCCTCATAAATATTTCAGTAATAAACAGGAGATGAAAGTTTACATCTTAGTTGACACGGACTGAATTGTTAGGGTGTGTTATTAAGTGGCTGTGAAAATTTCTTTGGTCTTTGATCTTACTTGAGGAGGAAGGAATACAGTGTTTTATGAAGACAGGTATCATGGCATTAATAGGCACTGTATAGAAAAATCGCATTCAACAGGAATGAAAGTAGGGTGGATAGACATCAGTAATATTCTTACTTAAAAAAAATTTGATATATTTCCTTTGTTAGTTGTTATCTCTGTATGAAGAAGCTGTCATGGAATTTCACTTTTTTTAGTCAGGCAGTTGTTTTGTTTGAAGACAATCATGAATATATCATTAGGCTGTAACTTTTTTTATCAGAATCTACTTCTACTTTACTAAGATTAGAGTTCTGTGATTTAAAAATTGCCTGGTGTGAGGTCTGTTTGATGTTTTATGATGGAATGCCCTTCTATTTAGGCTGTTTAGTCCATGCAGGATTCATTCAATTTTCCCAATTTAGTTTCTGACAATTGATATGTTCTGTCTGTGGTCACAGTTGTATGTGACCCCTTCAGTCAAGTTCAAGAAAAAAAACCTGGACATTGCCTCCTGAATTACTGGAAAGGCTGCATTTGTATCCATACAGTGGTTAAGTATCAGCAGGCTTTCTTATTCACATTTAAGTTAAGGAAATATGCTTGTCTTTTATTATGGCTTATGAAAAAAATACAAAAGGGAAAAGGATACATGTAGATCTACTCTTACTTTTGTTATGTTTTCAAACTTCAGTAGACACATGTATAATGATACCGATAGTAGTCTACTGGAGAAAAAAATAACAAAACAAGAGCCCCTTTCTTCTTTCCTTAATGTACCATTCTATGCAGTTAAAAATAAGCAGTGGAAAATAATAGGATAAAGAAGGGTGGAGTAAGGCTACAATGAGTACCAAAGATACAATCAGGGGTATTTGTGTGCCTCTTTGAGCCTGATTAAGTGTTTCAGCATGCCTGAGTGGATGTTTTTATCTACTGATGACATGAAAACTTCCTCTTTACAAAGAGTGTGTGGCTTGTTGTTGATTTTTTTACAAACAGTTTTTATAAAGAATGCTGTGCACGCTTTGGAGTATCACTTAAGCTGATAACAATATGAATGCATTTGAATAGTCCACTTCCTTTTAAAAACTGCAAAATTGTAATTGTTTTTCATCTTAAAACATTTTAGAATGTACATTGCAATCGTACGGGTACTAGTACAATGAGATTTTGAAGATGATAAAACTTGGCTTTCTGAATCTAGAAATGGTCTGATTATTGGAAGCAAGTTTTTTCTTTGTGGAAAGATAATTAACTTATGTCTTTTCACATTAAAGGTACATTTCACATAGAAAGATTGACAACTTAATATTCTTGCTATTTTATTATGTAAAAGAGTTTCCTAAGCCTCATAAGTGCCAAACCATATCTTAAAATTTGCAGAGTGGCTTTGTTTGTTAAAAAGGTTTTTTTGAAAACTAGCATTATCAGGTTATTTGAAATGACAAGAGAGTACTGCCGCAGATATGTTGTAGTCATGACCGTGAACCGTATGACCATTTCCAAAAATAAATAAATAAATAAATTTTAAAAAAATAAAAAATAAATAAAAATTCTTAATCAACTTTTGCATTGCATCACTTACACTGTAGGACTTTATGAAGGTTATAGAAACCAGACTTTCTTAAGAAGTAATTGCTGAAACTAAGGGGATGGAGTTGTGTAGTCATATGACATGATGCCAAGTGTTCTTGTTCAAGCCGCAGCAGATAGCAGTGACATTATCGAGGAAACAATTGATGGAGACAGAACAAAACATGTTGCTTCTCGATTATTTATCAAAGACTGCAGTATGGACCTAACCCATAGAATGTCTGAATGTTCATGTGTATCTTACATGAGAGGTATTAGATAATAATGAAGATATCCATAAAGATGAAAACAATGATATTTTGCAGATATTGCAATGACTTAAATGATATATGTATTCATGTTGTTAATGGTTTCATTGAACAGTTACGCACTGCATAAGTCAAAAAAGCACTTTAAAAAACTACAATACCTGCTTTTAACCCATCTGTTAAAAATTTGAAATGCAGCATAATGACAGTTATTAGTTTCACAAGTATGACCTTATATGAAAAGTATGTCTTGATAGAAATGGCAAATTTGGTTATATATGCAGCCTATCGTTTAGCCTGCACCTCAACGCCTTTACTCATGAAATAAACATATTTTAAGCTAATTTTTGTTAGAGAAAAAGTGTGGTTTGATGGTCCAGAATTGTTATTTACGATGTTTGAAGTGCAGCAGTATATTGAAGTAATACAAGTGTAACTTCATAAGACAGATAGAAATATAACTTTTAATGGACAGGGAAAATTGTCTTACTCTCAGTGCAATTTATAAAGAAACATGATCACAAGCACCACCAACATAGTAAATTTGCCGCAGTAGTTTAAAAAAGTAGACTATGTTTTAATTAAGATTTTGAAAAGATTGTTCTTTAACCTTCAAAATCAGTTATCTTATTGAAAGTAATATATTGGTTGATTCAGAGATTTTTGGGATTCAAGTCACTTGTAAAATTATGTAATTACCAACCAAATATTGACAACAAGGCTAAAATGTCAATTTTTCGCACCTTTCGCTGACTGTAGTGCCCTCTATTAATGTCACGGCCCATTGGTTTTATAGGACGACCACCCTGAAATAAACCGCCATACATTGGTCTATCATAAACCAGTGTCAAACTTGAGTATAGATTGCCAAGGAATTAAAAGTTACTTTATAAGCCTCTTTTCAGGATCAGCGTCTAGTCTATTACTGGAATGCTCCTGTTAATGTTTAAATGAGCTATGGGAAATATTATTAATATTATTATTTTAATTTATTTTTATTTTATTTTATTTTATTTTATTTTATTTATTTTTTTTTTTTATTATTTTTTTTTTGGTAAGTATCCATATATGTAATTTCATTTTCACTTAATGCCCCATAATCATGAAAACTGAAATGCACATTTATTCTTCTTTGCCTTTATTTATCATTACCTTTTTATTCTTTTACCCAGGAAATGTAAGAAATGGTCGACAGAAAGCAACAGAGGAGTTTTCATACTTTGAAAAAGTGGTCCCAGTGATCAGAACAAGACGGAGTGCCAGAGACGCCGTGACTTGGGCTGAGGTCAGTAGAGAAGGAGGAAGTGGGAGGAGAGGCTGCTGTATGGTTGCATTAGAGGCATTGTTAAAGAGCTGTGTCAGGACACTTACTGAGGGCATCAGTTCTAGTTAATACTTGGTATAATTAATTAGAGTTCTTGTCCTGGGGATGGTGACCCAAGCAGGAGACAGGTTACAAGAACCGAGCTGTTTTCAACTACAGGGTAATGTGTATAAAAGCCAGGTCCCCAACTGTCTCAATGTGCATTGCCCAGGATACACTTCCTTTACTTCCAAGGCTTTTTTTTCATGGTATCATGTAAATCTTTATTCTACATGAATAACCAATTGTTTAAGAAATCAAGATCAGCTTGCTAAGAACATAAACTTTGCACCTCAGGGAGCAGGCACTCAGTGGTGATTTTGTCTGTGTAAACAGTATGGAGTTTGATTGTAAAAACTGCTCCATGGGCATCGGGATAAAAAAGCACAAGTGGACTGATTTTGAGATAATTTCAGAATTTGGAAACACATTTATTTCAATTGGATTTATTTGCAGTTTGTCTCATAGTAAATGAAACCCAAGGGTTTTATGGGGCATAGAAAGCAAATTAATGTTACAAAAGTATCCAAATATAAATAAGGATATTTTGCACTTAATAGCTATTGTCAGCTCCTAATGCTTCATTTAAAAAAAGTGTCCAAATCTGTTGTCCAGACCATTATACTGTGGTCCTCAGTGACTTTCATTACCTCTCCTTGATATTTCTTCAGGCATGGTAGGAATCTCCATGTTAAAAGAAAAATTGAAGTTAATCAAGATGTTTTAAACATGGTATATTTAAGACTTATTATGCATATCAATTAGGAAACTAACTTAATTTAGAAAGGGAAATTTTACCCTTTCTGCCTTTAAATGTTCAAGGTGTCAGCTGACCTTATATCCCAGATATCTGATTCAAAACGAATGAAATAGGACACATTATAGAAAGGAAATCAAAAGATGAACTAATTCCAATTTCGTTTGCTTAAGATATAATAATTGTTTATATTGTATCTAGTTGCTTTTGTTTTCAAATTATAAGTTTTCTCATTAACTCATTGGGTTTGCCCAGCCTGACTAATGGTGTTGATCTAAAAATAATTGTAAGATAAGACATCACTCACTGGGCATGTCTTACCTTGGACAGCAGGTTTCATGCCTTGCCTTACAAATGTTTATTATTTGGAGGAAGCTGTTAGCTGCACTTAATGTTAGGTTGCCTACTTGTCCCAGCAATTTCAACCTTCCATGGCTGCTTTGTTGTAACTTTTAGAATTATCCTGAAAGTCATTCACTTGAGGGATTATCCATAAACTGATGTATGACCTCAATTTACCAAAAATCAATGTTATTTTGATGAAAAATATCTTTGTTCAACCTTTCATTTCTGGGCAGCTCTCAGCTGAATTTGTAGCCTGAGCGGTATTGGGAGAGCTGCTTGAAATTAATAATTACAGATACCTGTAGTCAAGACTATTTACTCATCTGCTTCAGCAGGTGGTGAAAACAATCAAGTAATGTAGAAGTCTGACATGTGGAAAATTATCTCTGACTTGGTATTGTTTATGAATTTTTTCCTGGAAATGACTCATACACTAATGCTTTTTTATGAATTAATCAGGTTTAATTAACTAGGAGTCACATGACATGCCATCTGGGAAAAGATAGGCTGTTCAACTGAATAATTATTCATGCCTTCTCTGAAACTGGATAATTGGATAAAATATTTCAATTTAGCCCCTTACTTATGATTGAAAATATTTTGTTAGATATAAAATGAATGTGCTATTTGATGGAGTAGCACTTGTTTGATAAAACATGTAT